AAATGCGAGGCGGATATAATAATGTTAGCCCAATTATATACCTCATGCTGTGTTCAAAAACGCCATACTTGAATACGTATTCAATTTATATTTATTCTTTATCATAAATGGCAAGAACTCGATTATGACTACACAAGGAAATTTGTACGTACGTTACGTATGCATTTTAAGATGAGGGAGATTTCACACTAATTATTTGAACAAACTTTCGATTGTTTTTAGATTGAAGACATGCATGACCAATACAATATGCAGCTTAATAATTAACATAGGTAAAAATTAGGAAAAAAGAAAAAGAGAACGAAAGAAAAAATCATGGGGGGGATATAGCGAAAATAGAAAATAAAGGCGCTTTTGAACCATACATTAAAATTTTTTTATGAATGCTAAATAGTTTAAAAGAGATGCACTTGATAAATATTGCTTTATGTAAATTACCAAAAAAAATCAGGAACAATAATGTTTACAAAATATTTAATTGGTTCAAAGTTTTGTGTGATATTGTTAGTAGCATAACGAACGATAATTATTGAATATTATTATTGGGTATTATTATTTTAATTTTTACTAGCGTTAGCTCTGCACGTGTCAAACATGTTACACAGACTGGTTCAGTCATTTAACAATAGATGATTGAAACCAATCAAATAACTTGAATACCTCACGATTACATGACGATTATATGGACTTGCTTTTTTAAAATAGATCAATTACCTTTGAAATATAATTCGTTTCCTTTTTGACGCATTCATTCGCCACCGTCAGCATTAATTAGTTTTCTTTCTTGGATAATAGTCGAATTTTTGCATAAATAGAACTTTAACATCAATGAATATCCTTGTCATTACTGCATTAGTTAAAGAGGTCCATGTGGAGATAATCTCCAAACCAACCAACGAGCCTAAAGAAATAATAAGGATCTCTTTCGATTAAGGAAATTTCAATTTGTTTCCTTTTTGACGCATTCATTCATTCATTTTTATATTAATTGATCTTTACTATTAAAATTTACGTGTTTTGAATGAGCTTTTTGAGTGAGCTTTGTGTTTTTTCTTCTTTTATGTATCGATAATCTTTACTAATACCAATGCGTAGTAACCCCTACTTCCTTAATTGTTTAAATACTATAACTACATATTATATATTATGATGACTACGTATTATAATACGTATTATAGCTACGTATTATAGCTACGTATTATAGCTACGTATTATAGCTACGTATTATAACTTGTGGATAATAGAAATTTCATTATTTTTCTATTTTGGTAAAACTCCTTACATAGATAGAGAATGATTATCGTTTCAAAAAAATTTCGGATTTAAATAATCTTAATTTTAAATATAAAAATTTTAAATATAAATATTTTAAATATAAAGATTTAAATATAAAAATTTTAAATATAAAAATTTTAAATATAAAATTTTGAATATAAAAATTTTAAATATAAAAATTTTAAATAAATATAAAACTTTAGATATAAAATTTTAAATATAAAACTTTCATATATAAAAATTTTAAATATATAAAACTTTCATATATAAAAATTTTAAATAAATATAAAACTTTCAGATATAAAAAAAAAGATCACACAAATCTAATAAATCTAATAAATCTAATAAATCTAATAAATCTAATAAATCTAATAAATCTAATAAATCTAGATAGTTATTATCACTAAACCAAGTTTATTTCATCGATCGGAGTTAGATATGCATTACGTAATTGTATATTATTGTTAGGGACATAGTGCCGGGGAAAAAGTTTAGTCTAAGCAATTTTTATTAAAGAATCTTTTTTAAAATAAATCATAGGTTAACACAGTAAATACTTTATTAAAAGCCAATTAAAGGGTAACCCATTCGTACTTTTCTAATTTTGAACATAAATGCTCTTTTTCATATAGAAATTAAAAAGCTTTAATAACCTTGAATAAACAAAGAATCTTGTTACAATTGGTAAGCGAGACTCCTAATTCAAAGGTGGTAACAATGCCCAATAATCTTTCAATAAATCTAAAAATCGACATCTACAAACATGTTGGTTTTAATGGGTACATAGTTTCTTGCTTTGGTCTTATTGTGTATGTATTCTTAGCTCATAATAATAAAAATTGTAGAACAATGTCTTTTCGACCAAAACTGATACCAACACGTGACCTCACATACAACTACGTTTTGTTTACTAAACATAAATAGTTAACAAAAGAATATAAATGGTATGAACATGAGAATCTCGTAACACGTCATCGTTAAATGTTTATTGTCATATCAATCTGTAATACAAAATTAATAGCATTAATAAATAATGACAAAAAATTCGCGGTAAAAAGTTTTTATACTAATCGATAATTATTGATAATAATTATTGATAATAATTATTGATAATTATTGATAATAATTATTGATATAATTGATATAAGAAAAAATTATTATAAAGCAAGGGCCAGTAGTTGAACCTCCTTTGGTTTCTACGAATTCGCAAATACTAGCTTTTTTTAATCGTTTATTGATTTTTTTTTTTTTTAATTCGGCTTTCATGTCTTTCCAAGATAATCGTGAATGTTTTGCTATTCTTTTGTTGCTTTCTTTGATTATTCTTCTTTTGTTCTCGTTCGCGTCAATAATCGTACATTTTTAATCTTTATTATTATGTTAATTGGATATTTTGTATATTAGCCAAAAAAAAATCACTATATTAATCGCTATATTTCTTTTTTTATATAAATTACCGCTAATTTTTGTCCATTCGATTTCCCGCCACGGAATTTCGTTGATCCCGTCAAAATTATTCGTAAAAAAAAATAAATTATATCGGTAAAAAATTTTTTTTTTTAAAAAAAAAATTTTTTTATACCTTTATTATTTCCTTTTTTTTCTTTTTTTTTTTTTTTTACGATTCCCCGATCCCGATCTTTTTCATAATGCCTAAAGTAAAAAGCAGATTAACCTCTAAAGAACAAAAATGTTTGATAGATTTTGATGAAATTTCTCCTGAACGACATGATTTTGCTTTAATGTTACTTTGTTCAAGATCACTTTATCGCATTCAACTAAAATGTTTTGAACATAATGTTCTTAATAATCAAGATATTCGTGATATAGTTCAACGGGAAGTTGATAGATTACCTAAATTATTATCGGTAATTGGAGCATCATTAGAAGCGAATGGATCTTATAATGCCAATCATCATGAAAATTTAATGATGTTAGATTTCTGTAAACAAATTACAAATTCAAATGATCCTTTAGATATAATTAGAAGTCTTTTAACAGCTGAACAAAATTCTAGATCGTTAAGAAGTTCTAGTGATAAAAAAGTTAAAAAAATGTACAGAAATCTAATTAATTTAATTGATGATTTAAAGAAATTTATGCAAAATCGTAACTCAACTGATGATTCAACCAATTTATCCTCTTCCGCTACTCGAAAACGCAACAATTTTCGACCGGTTTATTTCATGGGAAATTATTGTGTTTGTACAGAAGGTATTCCTGGAAGTGGTGAAGAAACTTTTATTCATCCGCCCACAGCACTTCTTTGGCTTCCCGTTCTTACTAATAAGGAACGTATCACTCAACATACGACCTCGGCATTTTCTTTACGTAAGAAAACAGAATTCGCTAAAAATAATGGACCTTCATTTAGACCTCAATTATTGCGAATGAACTTTGTTCAAACATTTGGTCGTAGACAATTACAACAATCATCTACAACGAGATCTTTGTCGGGAGAGAAATCTCGTCGTGTTACGAACCATTCTTCACAAAATTCTTTACAACAATCACAATCGACTCAGAGTCAAAATTCCCCATCGTCATCGTCGCATTCACACGTGCCTGTAACATCGATTAATGCGATTCTTAATCATGCATCAACTTCTAATACTTTTAATACCACCAACACTACTGGTTCGTCGTCAAACGCTTTACAACCAGGATTACAACCAGGATTACAACCAGTATTGGTTAAACCAACACCGAAACGAGTTCCTTTTTCTATAAATACCGATGTCTCAAGGATTTTATCAGCTCCTCGGAATGATATGACCTCTAAGATGGTTGCTACTACGACCTCATACATGACACCAGTTCAATCACCAATTACTTCTAATTGTAATTGTAATTGCAGTCCATTAAGTGCAACATATGATTTCAGAAAATTATGCCCTTGTATAGTCAACATGTCAGCTAAATCGACATCAACATCTCTTAATAATAGTCTTAATAATAGTCTTAATAATAGTCTTAATAATAGTAGCAACAATCCAT